TACTAAATGCCAGGCACTGTGCTACCCTCGTGGGCTTGGTAGAGGGAGAGACAGTATGAAGGTTATTGGGGAAAGTGCTGTAAAGTGACATTTATGGCACTGGAGATGGAGACTAACTGGTGTCGGGGGAGGGCTGTCTATGGTGGTGACAATTAAGGAGAGATGTGAAGGGTGAGGAGGCAGCTGTTTGAGAGCTATGGGGCAAACACAGAAGCAGAAGCAACTACATTACCTGAAGGCTGCAGCCTCCCAAGGTGCTTAAGGTGTTCTGGAAGCTGAAAAGAAAGTGCTAGCACCAGAGCCTTTTGAACTAGAAGAGTGATTCGAAGTGACAGTGGAAAGGCAGACTGGGTCCTTAATTGGGGAGGGGATCCCTGGACCATGGGAGAGAGTCATATATTCTGAGTGCTGCAAGAGCCTCCGGGGGCTTGAAACACATGACTGTTGGAGGAGGTTCCAAGGGAAGCAGTGGCTGGGGCCAGAGTGATGCCAAGAGAGACAAGGACTAGGGACTGATTTGAGGTAGGCTGGATGTATTGGGTGGTGGAGGCAATAAAGGGAAGGGAGAATCAGAGAGCAGTCCTGGATCTCTTGCAAAGTAGCTGGGTGGGGTGGGGATGTTGGATCCATTTAGAGAATGAGGAAGACAGAGGAAGGACAGAGAAGAGTTCCCTTTCAACTGTGCATTTTGACATGACTGTGAGATAAAGCATAGGAGGTTCCAGGTTCTCAGATGTGAGCCTGGAGCTGAAAAGACTGTTCCAAACTGAGACTGAGATTTAGATGTAGAATTGAAACCTGTGAGGGCCAGCAGGATTGCTCTATCAGTCTCCTAAAGCTGCAAACAAGGACCACAACATGCATGGCTTGAAACAGCAACTACTCAGAAGAGCAAAGTCAGGATGTTAGCTGGGCCATAGATATTGAGGAGAAGATCTTTTCCTGCCTTCTCTGGCTTTTTGTGGCTGTAGACACAAAAAAGCATCTAACACACATAACATACCTAGCCACTCCTACTTTGGGAAAAGTGGCTCCTCTTTCTCATGTTTCAAGGCTCCTTGGCTTGTGGCACATGAATGCAGTCTCCACCTCTGTCTCCACACTATCTTGTCAGTGTCTGTGCCCAAATTTCTCTGTCCTAATAAGGACATCAGTCATATTGGATTAGGACCCACCTTCTATGGTACAGCTTCGTCTTAACTAATTATACTTACAACAACCCCATTTCTAAATAATTAAGATTTCAATACACCTTTTTTGTAATACTGGAGAGTGAGCTCAGAAACTTGTGCATGCTAGACAAGTACACTACCCCTGAGCTGTATCCCCAGCCCAGCATATCATTTAGGGTGAACACAAAACCATAATAATCACTTAGGGAATGAATAGAAGGAAAAGAACAAGAGACATGGAACAGTTGGATAAAGGAGGAGGATGTTCTAGCAAAGGGAATAGACAGGCAAGAAATTTGGATATGGGCAAGTGGCACCTAGAAAGCTAGGAATAGCTATTGCAAAGCAGGAGCAGTGGCAGTTGTATAGAAGAAAGGCAGCTCTCAAGTCGTAGAGCTGAGATGCTGACCAATGAATATGACATATCTGATCTGGCTAGTATGGCTAGTAGGACCCCACTAGAAAAAGTTATGAAGTCGGTATGCAGTGAAGAGGCAGGAACTTTAGGGGGCCATTCCTATGAGAAATGGGGGATGGGGGGAGCAGATACTCTAGGTAACACAGAGAGAAGGATTAAGGAGAGGTGTGTGTTTGAGGTTTGCTTACATTTGTTTACTTTGTCCTTGCATTCTGTTTTGTTTTCCCAAAGTAGGCGCTGCTGTATTTACAACCAGAGTACCATGAATGGCTGCAGTTTCCTCTTCTGGTAGACTGAGAAAGAACAACATTCACAGACCCTGTTCATATAGGCAGTTGCAGAAATCTATATCTGGTGTTTCTTGCCAAAGAATACCACCAAAGTGTCTGCATGGCATGTTCAGATGCTTGTATCATTCACAGCACTAGGGAACAGAGGCCTGATTGAGAGGTGTCCAGAGGTTGGAAGCTGCCAGCATGGAGGCCACAAGAACCAGTCAGTTAACCTGATAGGAATGGCCCACTGTCAAATGCAGGGAAGACAACTCCAGGGAACTAGACATACCTGTTCCCAACACAGGGACTGGGACTGGAATGGGATGCATCCAAACATCAAGATCATAACTGGCAGGCTGCTGAGGAAAGCCTGAGCAAGAACTCTCATAGACAGACCTGAGCCTCCATGTGTGCAGAGGCAGGAACACATCTGACTCCAGAACAGAGAGGCAGGAGGAAAAGCAGCTTGTAACACTCATTTTTCTCTAATATTCTTTTCAGGCATCCCCTTTCTAAGGGATGTAGTTTTTTCTTAAATGAACAGACTATCTCCAAAGGCATCTGCGAGCCATCTCATTAGTTACACATCACAAAAAACAAATTTGGGAATCCTGGATTAGGGGCCCCAAGATACAGGTGACCTAGGCAAGTAGTGGCCTCAAGACTCATGACATAAGAGTGAGGCGGGCATATATCATGGAACAGTCACAGGCATCCCCAGCTTGTGATGCTAGTGAGCATGAGCAGCCTCAGTGGCCCACATACATAGTTAGCAACTGCACTAAAGGAGACAAAGCCTGGGGGGGGGGGGGTGCTGGCAGCTGCTTCTAGCGGTGAAGGCGTACAGACAGGAATACCTCTTCGATGGCACTAAGACAATGTTCTCTCTACTCTAGCAGTGGTGTTCCTCTGTGCTAGTCAACTCTCCCTCACTCTTACGAAATGCCTAAGACAGTTGACTTAGAAATGACTTCTTTGGGCTCCCAGTTTGGGAAGTTCCAGTATAGGATTAACTGAGGCAGCACACAGACAGGAGTAGTACATGGCAAAGCAAATCTTTCATAGCACATGGGAAAAAGATCAGGGGCAGGTGACCCATAGTCTCTTATAAGGGCACATTCCCAGTGAACTAAGTACTTCCCACTGGGTTCCACCTGTTAGAAGTTCCACCTCCTTCCAATGGTGCCACACTGGAGACCAATCCCTAACTAAATACATAGGCCTCTGCGAAGCCTTCAACATCCAAACTGTAGCAATCTCCCTTGCTGCCCAGAACAACCATGGTAGCACCACAGGAGCACACATACATCTGAAAAATCAAAACTTTGCAGAAAAACACTTGGGATTTTGTTTTTCAATACTATTTCATAGGGGAGATAGCTCACTTGGTAACCTGAGTTTGATCTCTAGGACCCTCATAATAAAAGCCAGAAATGAGCCTGGTGGTGGCATGTGCTTTTAATCCCAGCACTGGAGAGACAGGCAGGTGGATCTCTGCGAGTTCAAGGCCAACCTGGTCTACAGATAGTTCCAAGACAGCCAGCGCTACACAGAGAAACCTTGTCTCAAAAAACAAACAAAAACCAGGAATGATAGTGTATGCTTATAATCCCATCACTAGGAAGGTAGAGATAGGTAGCTTCCCTAGGGCTTGTTTCCCTGCCAGCCTAGACTACTTGGAAAGTTCCGGGCCAGTGAGATAGCCTGACTTTAAAAAAAAAAAAAAAAAAGTGGATAGCACCTGAGGAATGACACCCAAGGTTGTCCTCCAGCCTCCATATAGACACATGATAGCAATAAGCAAATTTAAAAGGGGGACTGTGGCTGTTTTCTGAGCTAGAAGAGGAAGGTCTGAGGCTGATAGAAGTGGTTTCAGTACTACTCTTCCTTTCCCTTGGGCCAGCCAGGTGAAAGGTGACCAAGGTTGAAGACAGACCCTGAGCCTCCACTCCTGACTTCTAAAAATGGGGCACAGCAGTGTTCCTGACATGGCTCTACAGTGTGGAAACCTTGTAGAGAAAGCAAATTGGGCTAATGTATTTCATTATGAGCACAGTGCATTGAGCACATTTCAAAACAGGCCAATTGTAGTTACACCTCAAACACCGAGCCTGTCTTATACCAAAGCATAGTACCACCTAGTCGGGACAGATGCTTTAACTAGAAAGTAGAGGTGCAGGAGAGATGGCTGGCGCACTTCCAGAAGACCCAAGTGTGGTTCCCAGAATCCGTGTTGAGTAACTCACAATTGCCTCTAACTCCAGCTCCAAGGGACCTAGTGTCCACTTGCCCCACATTTGTGACATTCCCTCATACAAATACACACACACACACACACACACACACACACACACACACACACACACATGCACATGAATAAAACTTAAAAGAAGGTATACTTTGTAGTCTGGTTTTGGTTACCAAATACATGTGTACTTTCCTCTTTAAAATTCCTAGTATGTGACCTTGTCTGTCATTTGCCGAGACATTAGGTTGTACAGTCAGGAGTGAGCTGGTTGTTGGGTTTATAATGGAATTCTGGTTGACTCTCAAGATATCTATTCATGAATGGGGTTCTATATTTGTAGCATTAAAGAACTTTTATAGAGATTAACCATTTAGAAACTGATGAGAAAAGTAATAGCAGTGTTTCTTTGAGGAACTGTGATACAAATACCTAAGACAAAGATTGTGGAAAATGGATATTGGACTTAATTGACTTATTTTAAGTGGGGGCAGCTATTTTTATGTATGTCTGAAAGTAGACTGTTTCAGAATTCCTTCTTAAAAACCAGGCATTCTTTATGAAGATTTCCAGGTGTTCAGCTACAAAAACTAACTTCCTACTGTTTCTGTGATTGTTATCATCAGTTCATGAGCTCATGTGGCCAGAGTGTGATGGTAGTGACGCCCACAGACGTGCTTTACTGTAGGCCTATTGTATTGCCACCCACCTGCCCTAACTCTGCACTAGCAAGCTAACTACATCCTCTTCAAACTAGAGGATAAAGCCAAAGGTTGGAGAGGTCATTGCAATGCAGACCTCTCTCAAAAACCACAGACCCCACACAGGCAGTCATGGTACCCCAGGAGAGAGCTAGAGCACTGATGGTTCTTTCCATTGTTCCTCTCCAGGGCCCCCGAGATCATCCTTGGTTTGCCATTCTGTGAGGCAATTGACATGTGGTCCCTTGGTTGTGTCATTGCTGAGCTGTTCCTGGGCTGGCCGTTATATCCAGGAGCTTCCGAGTATGATCAGGTAGATCTGGGTGACACAGGAATTCATTGTGTGACTTCATTTTCCATCCAGAAAGCCCTGGATTACCATTTCACTTAGAATCTGCCCTATCATATTCTTATGGACTGACTTACTGTCTCTCTTGCCTGGCTTTCTCTTATCCCCCAACCGTGTGTGTGTGTGTGTGTGTGTGTGTGTGTGTGTGTGTGTGTGTGTGTGTGTGTGTGTGTGTGTTTGTGTTTCTTTACTCCTTTCTTTTTACTACTTCTTTTCCCTCTAGAACTAATAATTCCATTTTTCTCAAAGCCACTAGAGCCATCAGTATACCATATGTACAGTGACAGAAAAAACCCTGACCTCTTTCTCATCTTTTCTTGCAGATTCGGTATATTTCACAAACACAGGGTTTGCCAGCTGAATATTTATTAAGTGCAGGGACAAAGACAACTAGGTTTTTCAACCGTGACACAGACTCTCCGTATCCTTTGTGGAGGCTAAAGGTAGGAAAAACACCCCTCCCTTGCACAGTGGTGGCCCAGTAGTGAAGGAGGAAGGAAAGATGAAAATGAGCTTTTGATATTTTCAAGTTGATAGCTTTAATTAGGCCAGCAAAATGGGGATGTCGGATACAGTTGTGAATACAAGGTGTGGCTGGATCTGAATGTTTGAAAACACTTGTTCCTTTGGTCTACCGCTGCCTGAGAGGCTCTATCCCATGGGAAGACTGCCGAATTTCTGGGATTTAATCCTTGATGACTAATCTGTGCTAGGCAGATGAAGCAGCCATATTCACCCTTAATGGAGCTCACTGTCGGGGAGTGGGGGGGGGGGTTAGGACCAATGCCCAAGCTCTGGGTTTCCAAACTGCTGAGTATCTTCCTCCTAGGAGGAAAGAATATGGGAAACAGTAGTGAGTCAAGTGAGCCAAGAAAAAGTGAGGCCAGGGGTCAAGGCAGGGAAGAACATTTGTGCTGGGCTTTGTAGGTACAGAGGGAGGGATTTTCCCAGGCAGTGAAAGCAGGTAGCCTAAGCAATGCAAATGGCACAAGCCCCTGGGAAGAGGGCAGATCTGATTCGTCCATGTAGTGCTCTGCTGGACACCATCAACTCTTGGTGATTCTACCTTAATGGAAACATAGTTTGCTTTTACTTTAACCTGTGTCTCATAATTAAAATGAATGCACTTTTCCTGGGAAGGAGAAAGGAATAAAGACCTTCAGTATGTTACATGTTTTTTTTTTTTTTTTTTTTTTTTTTTTTTACAGTAGGTTGAGTTTTAGTGGGTTTGGTTTGGTTTGTTTTTGACAGGATTCCAACCAAATCCTAATAGAGTTTAAAGATAATAAGTACTTTCAAAAGTTGAGATTTGGAAGTTAAGGAGACTCTTAAGCTATGAATAGAGTACCTGACATTCAATAATATGAATATTTTTTCATATTTTATGAAATATGAAAATAATTATGAGAGTGGGTTGTCAAGGTCAGGTCTAGTAAGAAGTCTTCAGGTAGAGGAGGAAGAGCCCAGGTTGAGGGTAGGGGTGGCTACTTCTGTGTCTTACCAGGAAACTCATTCTTTGTGTTCAGCTGCTCCTAGGAGTGAGCTGCTCCAAGTGTGCTGGCCTACAGCCAGAGTTAATTACCTTAGCTCCACAGGTGAGTCCAAAACCCTCGACAAGTAGCAGTGGTAGCTTCCCAGCCAGTGGTGTGATAGATGTCTGTGGAAGAGCAGGGTCGGGCACAGGCTCTGGAAACAGCTGCCACTTGTTGGCCAGGGGCTTTGGTAGGTCCCCAGAGCTTTGTATTCTTGTGTTCCCATATAGTAGAAGGGGAGAGCAGTCATCCTGATGACCATGGTTATGAAGAGCATTTAGTAAGTTAATGTGCCTTGAAACAGCAGAGCTGTAGGCAGAAGTGATTGTAAGTAAAACAAAATTTTAAAGCATGTCAAAAAGGGCTCTGGTCTTGCACAGTGAAATCTTACCTTCAGCTCATGGAAAGCTGCAGAGGGATAAGGGTGTGGCTCTCATACTCTCTTTAGAGTCTTTGGTAGCTGTATCAGAGTAGGAAGGAAGAAAGCTAGTGTGGATGGGTGGAAAAAGGACACTTTCAGAAGAACCAAAGTCTCCTCTACAAAGTGAGAAAAAGACCCTGGGGCCAAGCAGGAGCTCAAGTGCTTGAGATTCAGTGACCAAGAGATGCCATCTTACCAGCTTTTGCCTTTTCCATTAGACACCAGATGACCATGAAGCAGAGACGGGAATTAAGTCAAAAGAAGCAAGAAAGTACATTTTCAACTGTTTGGATGATATGGCCCAGGTAAGCTCCGGATGAGTATGCAGTACAGCACTTTAAAAAACACCTGCAGGGCAGGGCTTGGTACTACATGTCTGTGATCCCAGCCTTCAATCCCTGTAGGTTTGAGGCTGGCCTAGTATACATAGTGAGTTCCAAAACAGCTAGGGCTAAGTAGAGAGACCCTGTCTTAAAAACAAAAAATAAATAAATAAAACCCACCAGCAGTGAGATTTATTCAAGAGCAGTGCAGAGGAGAAGCCCCTCTACCCTGCTGTGCTCCTTGGCTTTGCTTTTGAACAGTGTGTGCCAGACTTAGTAAAAAAAGCCATTTGGTCCATGAAACCAACCACTTAAAAAATAGCTCCAGTAAGCAGATGTGCAATCCACAGCCAAGCACTGAGCCGAGCTCCGGGAGTCCTGTTGAAGAGATAGTGGAAGGATTGTATGAGCCGGAGGGGGCGGTGTCAGGGTCATGATGGGGGAACCCACAGAGACAGCTGACCTGTGCTCGTGGGAGCTCACAGACTCTGGACCGACAGCTAGGGAGCCTGCATGGGACCGACCTAGGCCCTCTACATGTATGTGAGAGTTGTGTAGCTGGGTCTGTTTGTGGGGCTCCTAGCAGTGGGATCAGAACCCTGGTGCTTGAGCTGACTCTTAGGAACCCAATCCCCATGCTGGGATGCCTCATCCAACCTTGATGCAGGAGGAGGATCTTGTTCCTGCCTCAACTTGATGTGCCATGCTTTGTTGACTCCCATGGGAAGCCTGCTCCTTTCTGAATGGAAATGGAGGAAGAATGGATTTAAAAAGGAGGTGGGGCAGGGAATGGGAGGAGAGGAGGGAGGGGAAACTGGTTGGTGTGTAAAACAAATGAAAAAAAAAATTTAATTAAAAGAAAAAAAAATAGCTCCGTTGTAACGTTTCCTTCTGCGGTGCTAAAGGCCTGCACCCAGGGCCTTGCATGTGCTAGGCAGGCACTCACTCCTGAGCTGAGAAGTCCAGCCCGCTGCTGTGCTGGAATTGATGACCGTGGTTCAGTGTGTCGGTTTCCTATGGCCTCTATAACAAGATAGAGTGAATTGGAGGGCTTAAGACAGCACACATGAATTCTGCCATAGTTCTGGAGGCTAAAAGTATGTGGTGTCAATATCCTCAGAGCTACAGTCCTTTTCAAGACCCTAGTGAACACCATCCATATGCCTGGCTTCTCATGGCTCCTAGCAACCTCAGAATTCCTTGCTTGCAACTACATCACTCTAATCCCGGCCTTCCCCTCCACGTGGCTATTATCTGTGTCATCTCTGGTCTTGGTGTCAGATCTCTTCTCTTATGAAAGCACTGGTTATTGGATTTAGAACCATCCTAATCCAATATGGCCTCATCTTAACTTGATTATATCTGCAAAGGCACTATTTCCAAACAAGGGCACATTTATAGCTTCCACAGATTAGGACTTGAATTTGAGCTTTTAGGGGGATCCAATCCAGACCACTACACTCAGTCGCTGTCAGCTCACTAGCAGAGACTTTTTCACTCACTACAGACTTTTTCTTACCTTTGTATCAGAGATAACTCCAGATCTTTTGGTATTTTTAATGAGAGACTAGTCCAAACTCAGAGCAACCCAGAATGGGTTTTCCTTTAAAATGCTGAGAAATAAAGCTGTAGCCCAATAAACACTTAGCACACCTCTTAGCAAAGATGAGTGTAACCAGAACTCCTGATTCTGAGTAAAGTACACTTGTCAGTTGATTAGTAGCTTAAATGGTCTGTGAAAACTGAAATTGCTTTCCAGAGCCCCTCTTGGAAAAAAATAGAAAGTACCACAAAGCAAGCCTTTTAAAGGCCATGCTAGTAGAGACCTGCCATCGGGAGAAAAATCCTGTGTTTAGGGACACTGCATTCCTTGGCCAGAGGTGACTGCAGGGAAGGAACACAGGAACTGAATGAACCATTCTGGTCCCAATTCAGAGAGCTCTGGGAGGGTGATGTGATGAAGGTGAGGGAAGAGCGAACCCAGGCTCTTCTTTCCCCCTCCAGGGGTTGAACACACTTTTTCTATCTTCTTCTGCTGCTTTATCTTAGAACTTTTGAGGTGTGTGTGTGTGTTTATTTCTTTGTTGTTGTTTGATTGTGGTAAAACACATATAGCATAAAGTTTCTTGTCTTAGCCTTTTAATGTTTAATTAAGTTCAGGAGTATTAAGTATATCCACACTGTTATACAATCAGTCTCCAGAACCCTTCATCCTGTGGTTATTTTTAATAAGGTGTGATAAAAGCTGCATTTTGCTTGGCCAGTTGAAACAGGAGCAGTTTTGTGCCTTGTCACTGGGAATTATTTGCAGGTATCAACCATGGTGGCCTCTTTCTGCCCCCACCTCTACCTGGTGCCTGACTGCCTCAGCCATTCTGTCATACAGTCTAAAAAGCCATGACCTGTGGATAGTAGCAGCACACAAGCCATGTCTCCTCCACTGGGGGCAGTCTACCCTCTGGCAACTGGGATGGGAGGCTTGAGATCAGAAGAGGTTACAAGGTATACTCTGGCTCTTACTCCCCTGTCCCTGCTTGCTTCCAGGTGAACATGACAACAGATCTGGAAGGGAGTGACATGTTGGTAGAGAAGGCAGACCGACGGGAATTCATTGACCTATTAAAGAAGATGTTGACCATCGATGCTGATAAGAGGATCACTCCCATCGAAACTCTGAACCACCCCTTTGTCACAATGACACACTTGCTCGATTTTCCCCATAGTACACAGTAAGTGTCCTGCTTGACCCTTTGTACCAGGGCAGCACTTTGAAGGCCCAGAGAGTAAATACTTTAGGCTTTAAGCACTCTGGTTTCCGCTGCGGTGGCGGCGCAGTTCTGTTACAGTTGAAAGCAACTGTGATACATCACATAAGCAAAGTTGTGGATCTGTGTTCCAAAACAGCACTTAGAAAACTTATAAGGGCTAGATTGGACCTAAGACTGTAGTTGTACCAAAAAGGAGGGAACATGGGACATGGGAGACCTTGGGGCCAGATGAACTTGGATATCCGTGCACAAAGGAAGTAGACTAAACAACAGTTCTCTAAATCAACCTAGCAGCAGTACCAAAGGTTAGTCCCCAAACTGTCCTGGAGTGAACTGGTCCAGTTTGTTCAGATTTGTCCATTTCCTCGGCTTGCTATGGGCTATACTAGGTGCTAGGGTACAGTGAGTAAAAATAGATTGAGCATTTGCCCACTGAGCTGTGGTCTTCAGAGAGGAAGGTATAAAACAATGGCTGTTACCAAGAAAGGAATGAGGTGTGATGAGTCAGTATAACAAGGAGCTGACTGAGCAGGCCAGAAGACCCAAGAATGTAACCTCTGAAGGCGAAGAAGAAGATGGGTGTGAGCAGTCAGGGCATTGCCTGTGTGAACTCTCCAGCATGACTGAACACTGGACATAAAGACAGTGGTGGCATGCCAAGGCCACGGAAGTCAGCTGGAGCAAGTCATCCTCAAGCAGGACTTTGCCTTTTATCAAAAGCACAGTGCAACTCATTAAAAGACTTAGAAGCAGATGACTGGCTGGACAGATTTGTGTTGGATACAGACCTAACTGCTGCCATATCAGTAATCTAGAAAAAAAAAAATGTCTGTAAGATCTTGCAACTGGGAGAGCATTGTTAACTTAGTGACAGCCATTCCCAAGCAGCAACTTGTTGAGCAGGTTGAAAGATAAGTGAGAATGGAGAAATAGATGGGAGCAGCCTCACAAGAAGTGAGCTGTGAAAGGGAAGAGCTGGAGCAGCGTCAAGAGGAAAGGTTTTGAAGAGTGAGGGAACTTAAGCAAATACTAGGGGAAGAATCTGGTAGCAAGTGAGAGGCTCAAGGAAAAAGATACTTGGGACCAGTTTCTTCTGAGTTGGTGTTTAAGCTGAGTGGAGAGGTGGGCCCTGTCACTAAAAGATGGCAAGAGAGGTGCGTGGGTGTCCACAGATGCACTGGATAGCAGAGGAAAGTTGAGGGAGTTCCTGTCAGACAGCTTTTGTCTCAGAAATAGATGATGAAGCCACCTGTTAAGAACAAGATGAGTGATGGCTTTAAAATTGTGGAATGTGATGATGACTGTGGCTGGAGAGATGGCTCAGGGGATAAAGCATTAGCCACACAGATGTGCGGGTTGGGTTGGAATCTCAAGCATCCACATGAACGCCAGGTGGTCTGCCTATAATCCCAGCACTCAAGAGGTGAAGATAGAGGGTCCCAGGGGCAAGCTAGGTAGCTAGACTACTTGAAGGGTAGTCAAGAAAGGCACTCGGGGGAGCTAGAGAGAGCTCAGTGGTTAAGAGCCCGTCTGCCTTGTAGATGACCCGGGCTCAAGTCCCTGCACCCACATGGTAACTCACGACTGTCTGTAACTTTTGTCTCAGGGGATCCAGTACCTTCTTCTGGCCTTCCCAGGCAAACATACAGTGCACAGACAAACACACAGCAAACAACTATACACATAAAAATTTTACTAAGAAAAAAAGACACTTGGGGGCTGGAGAGATGGCTCAACAATTAAGTTCACTTACTACTCTTGCAGAGGACCTGGGCTCAGCTGCCAGCAGCCACATCAGGTGACTCACAACCATCTGTAACTCCAGCTCCAGGGGATCCAATGCCCTATGGTCTCCTCAGGCATACGCATGATGCATATAAATTCATGCATGCATATACACATAAATAAAAGTAAGTAGGGCCTTCAAAGATGGCTCAGTGGTTAAGAGCACTCACTGACTGTTCTTCCGGAGGACCCAGATTCAATTCCCAGCACCCACATGGCAGCTCACACCTGTCTGTAACTCTAGTTCCAGGGCTTCGGACACCTTCACACAGACATACACACAGGCAAAACACCAATGCACATAAAATAAAAATAAGTTTAAATAAATAAATAAATGTAAATGAATCTTTTTAAGAATAAAAAACTCCAAGTAGAAGTACTTTTCTCATCCTAACAGTCAAACTCAACCCACTGCAGTGAGAAAACCCTAGAGCCTGGAGACTGTACACTGAGCCATCACAAAATCACTGGATGCTTTAAATGTATTCCAAATAGAATGCATCCAGCATCATTTTCTTGTCTTCTGCTCAATGTGAAAGCACTCAGCAGTATGCTAGGTACTCACCAGAAGCTGTGGGTGGGCATGGTGTTGTTTACCAGTGAATATGTTTTCTTTTCTCTCTAGGACCATCAGTTAGTTTACTATGCATTGTGTATTGAGTAACCAGTGTGAAGAGTAGCCAGTGTGAATAGCCATTAACTTAGAAAGAAATAGGAATCTTTAGGTCATAGGTCATGCCTATGTCCAATTTCTGAAATTTTGAATGTATCTTTCTTGGTAATCATATTCTGGGATAGCCTATAAACACCTATTTAGTTCAAAATACAGCATACCTGTAGTATACAGCAATTTCTGTTGCCTTGTTTACATTCAGTTATTGCAATAGGCATTTTAAATTGTAGATTAAATGAGGCTTTATCTTGAATATTAGCACTTGAGGAAATGTGAACTTAGAAACAGACGAGGCAGAGTGTATGAGGAGCAGAGCATGAATTGATTAGGACACAGTGGGTGTTCAGGAGCTAGGGGGCCGGGACCACTAAAGGCCATCAAGCTTGGACCTGTACTCCTTTAATACTTTTGTAGTTAGGTTTTTGGTTTTGATTCACCAAGACAATAGAGAAAGAAAATGGGGGAGAGAATTCTACTTCATGTAACTAGACAAGAATTACAACAACAACAAAAAAGTAAGGATTAAGGAAGTTAAGAGTGTATACAAGAGAGACATGGGGGTAGGGGTGAATTGCCAGTTAATAATTCTCTATCTGGCAAGTTATCTGTCCTAAACCTTCGGCTTTACTTATAAAATTGAGACAGTGATCATAGTCTGTCTTGTGGATGGTGTAAGACTAGAAGGGAGATTGCAAACACATGTCACTGCCCTCAGTAACAATTAGTAGTCATTGTCATCATTGTTTTCACTGCTTCACAGGTTCCAGTGAGGTGGGTGAGCCAGCTGCCTAAATTCATGACCCTAGATGGGAGAATGATTTGGCTGACCCCTAGATGATGTCACGAGAATGGGGGATGGGGTAGACAAGTGGCTCCAAGGAAGGAGGAAGTAGGTTGTAGCAGCTCCTTCCCTAAGATCCTTGTTTGGAGAGTCGTCTTGTTGAGTGAGGACTGCACTGAGGATGAGCAGTGAGATTGGAGGTGGGAAGTAATGGCAGGAAGATCGAATGAAGATGTCCGTGGTCTGGGGAACCTGCCCATCCGAGACAGGACAAAGGCGATAAGACAATGGGGAGTTCTCACACAGTGACGACAGTCCCAGGAGTGGACTTTGAGAAGGCCAGGGGTTTGAAGCTCAAGTAAAGCTGCGTGGTCATTTTGTTTACTGGATTAACCATTCTCTCCTTTTCTCACTGTTTTCTCTCCTTTCCCCACCCACCTTACCCACCTCACCCTCCTTCTTGTCTTGGGTCTCTGCCTCCACCTTTTGCATGAACAGTGTCAAATCTTGTTTCCAAAACATGGAGATCTGCAAGCGCCGGGTGAATATGTATGACACAGTGAACCAGAGCAAAACACCTTTCATCACACACGTGGCCCCTAGCACATCTACTAACTTGACCATGACCTTTAACAACCAGCTGACCACTGTCCACAACCAGGTGAGTGGCTGACACCAGAGTAAGGTGGGCAGGGCTGTCAGTGTGGGCATCAGGACTCAGATTTCCCCCAACAGACCCAGGCAGTTTCCCTGTGTTGTCCCTTTGGGTTTGTAAGCTGAAGTACTTGCTTCCTTGGTTAGTGTAAGAGGCCAAGGGACTCTCTGTTCTCACTACTGCTTCCTGAGATGGCACCTCTTCCCATTTTCCTCTGAGCAGATGTGGGAACGGAGCCTGCTAAAAAGTTCTAGAACCAGAATGACCAGGAATCCCTCCCTGCACCCCTGTGTCCATATAGTTTTTATCAGGGGAGGTAAAACCTGTCCATTCTCTAAGTCATAGAAAAGCCAGCTCATGGGTCTGTCACCAGAATCCTAGCACCCTACCCAAGGGATACAGGAAGCTGATCCCCTACCTTCTGTAGATTGGAAAACCCAGCAACATAGAATGTTTGAAATACAGATGAGACTCAGGAAACTCAGTACTCAGGTACTAAATGAAGAATCTCCACATCCTAGTTCACCTGCCTCTAGAATCTGAGAGACTTGAACTGTTCCTCCCATCTTCCAATCTTCCGAGTTCCTCAAAGAAGTGTTCCCAGACTCTTCAGCCTTACTATCAATCTGTGACAATGGTGGTCCTGTCTGGTGGTCTCCCTTGTACACAAGCACATATACACACCTTCGGAGAAGAGAAAGAAATATGTAACCCTGAAGTGTGAATGCTGTCCCCTGTGGGTCCACTTTTAGTTGGCAGGTCCTCCTGTCACTGAGGAGTCACTGGCCCTACCTTCAGCACTGTTCTGATCACCCTGTTCACCCTCTAGCTTGACTTCCAGTTGCTAACTCTTCCTGGACTTAGATATTCAGTGCCACCTGGAATCTGCTGCCCCCTGGAGGCCATCATCGATCTTGACGCTGTCTGTAGAGTGAAAAGCTCATTTTCCTGCCAGCCCCGAGGTTAAGACTTTTGTATCTAGGGGCTTCTCAACCAGCGGTCACTGAGGCTTTCTTCATTACCTTGAGGCTTGCTTTTCCCATCCATCTCCTTAGGAGACTCTTGATCCTAAGTTCCTAACCTCAAATCCCTTGTCCCCATCTGCCATCTGTCTGTTCCTTCCATTACCAAAGGATCTAAGAGGGCACACGGGGAAGGGAACCCCTCAGATCATGTATCAGGTCAGGTGAATCCCCCTGCCCCACCAACCTTTCCGTGAATATCTCCATAGGCTTCTAACTGGAGGTCTGGAGGTCCCTGACCATAACAGAACAGGTCATCTCCATTTTTCCTATGGTAGGACAGCCAGCACATCCATTCCTAAGAATATCACCAAAACTGAACAACACAAAGGCAGGTCCCAAATAAGAAAGAGCACCTCTGTTCTCCATGGCAGTGAGACCTATGAAGCTGGCCAGGTGGACTGGAGTAGAAAAGGCTGCTAACTTCGTATAATGGTGGGCTTCAGCACTGGGGGATGAAATGCTGCCCTACAAAAGCATGATCCTGAGAACAAACCCTCCATCATCTGAACTTAGAATTGTTGGGCCCTAATTAAATACAGGAAAAAAACAAGTTATTCCAGTTGTAACCTAGACAAAGCACTAAGGCATGCTGTCCTCCTCTGATAATGTTACAAAGTGGTCACATTACTGACAGTGAACATTATTGTGTCAGATTTTTTTCAGTCCTCCCAGCATGCATATAGGATAGGTATTATCATTGGCATTTTAGAGGCAGAAACTGAGGCACAAAGCAATTAATCCTCTTACCTACGGCTGCCTGCTAGTACATATGAGATAGGTTTGGCCTTTGACTCCAGTGGTCTGGTATCAGGGTCTGCATTCTTGAAACACATGCACTGATAAATCCTGTGGAGGTCCTTGGATCCTTTTCTAGATGGTGTCTGCTCTCCCAAGACAACACGACTTCTGTACGTTAGTGACCCAGTCCTGTGTTCCTTCCGTGAGGTCCTTGAAGTTTTTCTGCTCAGTCAAACATTTGGATGTTTAGAAGCAACGAAATACACCTACAGTTTTATGTTAGTGAAGGCCATGGAACTAGTTCTGTGTTGCTCTTAACGTACATCCGGTAGACTGGCCATAGGATCTTTCCCAGGTGCCACTCATCTGTAATTGTGTGTCTCAAGGAAGCTGGGTCAATATGCTGTAATTTTTATGTACTTTCAAAAACTGTTGGTAGCCAGGTGGTGATGGCACACACCTTTAATCCCAGCCTCAGGAGGCAGAAGCAGATGGATCTCTGAGTTCAAGGCCAGTCTGGGATCAGTGCTAGTTCCAGGACAGCCAGGGATACACAGAGAAACCCTGTCTCGAAAAACCATAAAACAAAACTGTTAGTAACATTGAGTAGGAAGTCCTTCCCTGAGTGTTCTTGGCTTAATCCTTAGGCTCAGTCTCTTTACTAACTTTTCCAAGGTGTCTTATTTTAGGGGCATATCCTTCTACCAAGAATTTTAGCTAGATTTATAGGTTATGCTCACATCCTGTTTAAACATCTTTTTTTTCCCCCCGGTTTTTTTGAGGCAGAGTTTCTCTGTGTAGCTTTGCACCTTTCCTGGAACTTCTTGCTCTGTAGACCAGGCTGGCCTCGAACTCACAGAGATCTGCCTGCCTCTGCCTCCTAAGTGCTGGGATTAAAGGTGTGCGCCACCACCACCCAGCTGTTTAAACATCTTTTATAACTGCATCTAAGAATCACTTGGCCCAGCCAAACGGCAGTAGTGCACGACTTTTAATCCCAGCACTTGGGAGGCAGAGGTAGGCAGATCTCTGTGAGTTCAAGGCTAGCCTGGTCTACAGAGCGAGTTCCAGGACAGCCAGGACTACACAAAGAAACCTTCTCTCGAAAAATTTAAAAAAAAAAATCACTTGGCCCATCTTTGCAATGTAAGTTGCCAGGGAACTTGCTTTTTCTTCTCATTTGTCTTTGTTAGCCAGAACAGCTCTTAACAGTCCTCCCTGCCTCTCACAGACAGGTGACATCACTCTGGCAGAACCATGGAGGACAGCAAAAATCTCCCTCAGCCTTATACACACTTCCAGCAGCTGATCCATAGCAGCATTGGAAACTGAGGGAAATTGTCAGCATGCATCTACTGCTCACACTGGGGACTGGTGCTCATATCAGGATATGCATTCCCCTTTTCTTTCCTGGACTCTACAAAGAGCTCATCATCTTTGTAGATTCCTCTCAAGGAGCTCATGGTCTCCATGGTGAAACATGAGCTAAAACAGATCCCAATACAGGCTGCATACATGAGGGCCAGATAAGGCAGACAAACAGGATCACAAGTAGAACCCAGGCCCTTCTTCCAAGGAGACCCAGCACACTGTGGCGGGAGTTGAGCCACACAACCACAGGCTGCTGTACAAGAGCACTGCCAGGGAAGATTCCACTTTGGAGCCCTGGGATCCAGGCTGGCCCCAAAGCACGGTGGCGCAGAGAAAACACTGAGCCAAAGGATTCCTATGAGATGAATAGCCTTTGCTCACAGGAAGCTAGGAAAACAGCAAGTAGACTAATTTGTCCTGAAGAAAAAGATAGATAACGCTTATCAAGGAAGGTAACTGAGGGTCTATAGAAAGCAAAAATGCTGGGCCAAGATGCAGACACCACATTCACGAGGCCATTACTAGAGTTCGTGAGCAGGTCCTTAAGTACAGAACAGGGAGCTGATGCACAAAGTGCTCTTTCAGAGAGAAAGATCCAAGGCTGGAGAGATGGCCTCTTCCAGAGGACCTGGGTTCAATTCCTAGACCCACATTGTGTCTCATAACCATCTGTAACTCCAGTTCCAAGAAACACAGTGCTCTTTTCTAGCGTCTGTGGGCACTAGGCACATGCATGGTACACAGACATACATGTAGGCAATACACCCATACACATTTTTTAAAATTAAAAGAGAGAGAAAAACAATCTTGTGCCCAAGAATTGAAAGAGAAGTAGAGGGCAGGCCATCACTAATCAGAGACTTACGTACGGGTCCTGGGTGGGCACCAGAGAACAACTGAAAAAAGTCAGTGGGTCCTAGGGATGATTGGGAGGCAGAGGCATCAGAACAGGGACTAATCAGAGGCTGGGCCAGCACAGTCAACTGGGAAGACATTGGTGCCACGGCCCCAAGCAGGGGACCTTCAGGGCCTGAGCCTTGAGTGTCTGAGGTGACAGTGAGAAATGTCGTCAAGGAGCTGCCAGGAAAAATAATGGTGTGGGGGAAACTGGAGATGAGTGTTATGTCATCAGTACATAGACACTGGGTCCTATATGTGCACACATGTCCGCATCATACTTCTAGGAGGCATGGTGTGGAGTGCTGAAAATGCATATACAGTTAAAAATCTAAATAAGTGTGTCATAGGAGTTCGTAATCATTTTCAAATAAATATATTGTCTTGTACTAAAATTTAGCACAAAATCTAAGTCTAACAAACTATGTAGGGCTAAAGATACAGCTCAGTAGTAGGCTTGCCTGGTCTCTGCAAGGTTCTGGGTGGTTTGATCCCTCCCCCTCAAAAAAAAGGTAAAACAAGACTTTATCTTTTCTGGAATTTGACATTAACTCCACTTGAAATTCTCTTTACACATGTGTCCAGTATTTACTCAACAGTCTGCCTCCTCCTTATTCCTTAGTTCTTACACCCTCTAGAGCAGTGGTTCTCAACCTTCCTAATGCTTCGACCCTTTAATACAGTGCCTCATGCTGTAAGAGGAACCCCCAACCAGAAAACTATTTTGTTGTTGCTTTATAACTGTCATTTTGCTAGTGTTATGAATTGTAATATAAATATCTGATATGTGACCCCCAAAGGGATCGTGGCCCACAGGTTAAGAACCTCTCTTCTAGAGTTACAGCTCCTTCTAGACAATGTTCAGTTTGAAGCCATTGCTAACCTCTGCTTCTCTTTGCTTAAAGCTCAGTGTAAAGAAGGCTAAGGAGAGAAATATAAGAATTCCCAACAAAGAATTTGCTTTCCCTCTACAGCTTTGTTTCTGTTAGAAATTCCATTTCAAAAGATAGATCCAGATGTTTGCCATATACTGTTTTTACAGTAGCAGTGTCCTACAGTGGGCTAAGGGTAGCAGCACTGTCTTTAGATCTGAGCAAGAGTCTCCTTGCAGGGCTCTTCCTGGGCTTCCCTTCTGGTGCATGGGCTTCCGTGCTAAGATCTGTTTATCCAGGACCCAGGCCTGCAGGTGCCTCTTCCTGGATTTGTCCTCCCAGGTATAGATGACCTGGATCCAGGGAGAGGAGGAGAGGATGAACAAAGGTGGAGCTTGTGGGCTGGCAGCACAATACATGTGCGTCGAAACCCCTCACGTTGGTGGATCTTCGCTGGGACAAGGGGAAGAAAGGCAGGGCTTGGTTTTCCCACCCTCCCCATCATCGTAGTCCACTGTGGAATCCAGGGGTACAAAGGCTCTCATCCCAAACTTGGCCTTCTGGGGTGAAGCAGACTTTCATTAAACAATTTCCTTTTTCATTGTTTGTTTTTTCCTCCCCCCATGAGGGGGGGGGGCGGATTAGGAGTTCATGCCCAGACTAGCCTCAAACTCCACATCTAGCCAAAGATAACCTTCAGCTTCTGATCCTCCTGCCTCAGCCTCTTGAGTGCTGAGGTTACAAAATACATAGGAGATCACAAGATTGCCTAGTTGTTTTCTTGAACCCTGGGCTTCCTGCATGCTAAGTAAGCACTGTACTCGCTGAGCTACATCCCCAGACCCTTAAACAGACGGTTTAGACTGAGTTAACTCTTCAGTAGTGAGCTGTGTGGTCCCACAAATGGGAGGATGCAGGCACCTGCCTTCCTCTAAGGCACTCAGCTGGATTCCTGCCCCTCTTTTTGTTTTTCTGCTCTTGGTTTATGTTAGCTCTCCTTTCAGTTCATTTATTTGATTTAGATTTGTGTCTCCCAGCATACCACCTCCCTCATTTTTTATTTTTGTTTATTTTTGTTTAATCCCCATCATTCCTTTAGGCTCCCACCTCCACCAGTGCCACTCTTTCCTTAGCCAATCCCGAAGTCTCCATACTAAACTACCAATCTGCACTCTACCAGCCCTCAGCGGCATCCATGGCCGCGGTGGCCCAGCGGAGCATGCCCCTGCAGACGGGAACAGCCCAGATTTGTGCCCGGCCCGATCCCTTCCAGCAAGCTCTCATCGTGTGTCCCCCTGGCTTCCAAGGTAAGGCGGAACTGGTTCTTGCAGGACCACCTCCAGGGTTCCACCCCTGCTGCTTCCTGGAATGCTCCCTGTCAGGGGAGAAAGCCCTCTTCCCTCCCTTCATACGAATGCTGGCATCACTGAAGTTGGAGGCTGCTCTCCTGTTGCCACCAACCTAGAAACAATGCGACTTGTGCTCTAGCACCAAGTCCATTTGTTTTTGTTCTCACCACCTGCCAGAAGCTGTGGCCCTAGCCAGCTGCCTGTGAAGAGGCGTATTGTCTGCTTCCATTGTTATGCTGATGTCAGCTCCAGCTTCCCTTGCATGAAATGCTCTCTGAACATTGTCTGTAGAAAATTGCCAGTCTCTGACAGCCAGCATAGGCCCACTTCATGTGAAGAATAGAAATTTGTCTGAAAAGTGCTTCCCTGTGCCTCCTCCCCTTTGGCCGTGGTCCCGGAGCTCTTTTCCTGTGGACTCTAAGGAGTTAGAGAAGACTCCACACGAGAAGCTCAAGGACAGATTCGAAAAGCACCCATGTGAGCATACACGCTGGTGCTCAGATCCCATCTGTGCAGTCCAGAGAGAGCCCAGCACTCTGCCCCCAGCATCCTTTCTGTGACACTCAGCTATGTCTCCAGGGGCAGCGACCGTTGTTTTCCTCGTGTAATTAGTCATCTTTAACTGTCCTGTTTTGGACCGTACATAATTTAATTTTAGAGGGGTATGTTTGTGGGGAGCAGGGAACGACTTTTTAGTTAGAAACTAAAAGGAAAGCATCCCATAGCTGAGCAGTCAAGTTCACTCAGTGGCTAGAAGGGTCTCTCCGTCTTTCAGTCCTTCACCTCCCTCCTGTCCCTCACCCATGAACAGGCCTGCAGGCCTCTCCCTCCAAGCATGCTGGCTACTCAGTACGGATGGAAAATGCTGTTCCCATCGTCACTCAAGCTCCAGGAGCTCAGCCTCTTCAGATCCAACCAGGTCTGCTTGCTCAGGTAATTCTCTTCTGTATTGCTCATATTCCCATCGTCCATGTTAATGCTTTTCCAAAAGACATGTATCTCTGACTCCCTCTCTGGTAATGAGGTAGGAGCTCCCAGGCACTGGAATATGTCAGTAATGTTCTAAATGATCCCGAGTGAATTACATCCCTAAGTGTCTAGTGACAATTCCAGGAAGAAATTTAGATACAGAGAGTCTAGGGAAATTATTATTATAGCTTTGTAAAGCAAATCATCTAGGAGACCTAGGTTTTAATCCTAAATCTGCTAGTAATTCTCAGTGACCTAAGGCAAGCCAGTTAATATCTCTTTGCCTCCAATTTCTTTCTTGTAAAATAGAAGTGGTTCTTAGAGCTGAAGGAGCCCTGGAGATTATCCCTTCGTTTTTAGAGTTGGGGGAAAATGACTTGTGGAAGCTATGGGCTAGAACCTTCCTTTCTGTCCATATAGGTATTCTAATGGTGGAATGAGGTCACAAAGATGAAAAATGATTGACAATGTATAAAGTGTTACATGAGTTTATAGTAACGGTACTGGTGCAATACCAGAAGTCAATCCTTAAAGACATCTGAACACTAAATAACATATGTAATGTTTCTATGCCATGCACTTTACAGTTAATTCATTTACAGTTTACAGTTAATCCCCACAACACAGAAAGATATCTGTCTCTACTTGACAAGTAGGAAAACTGAAACAGGGATTTGTTCGGAGCCATACAGCAGCCAGGCATGGTGGTACACACCTGTCACACCAGTACTCAGCTGGCTGAGGCAGAAGAATTGTGAATTCAAGACCATGGTAGGGTACACAGTGTGTCTTGGCCATCCTGCACTACACAGTGAGACCCTATCTCAAAACAAAAACATTACACAACAACTAGATGTCAGAACCAGGACATATTATAGACATCTAACACAAATGTCCATATTTTTCTGCCATCTTAGACCACTTCCATGTCATCTTTCTACTGTCAGACATCAAGGATGGCTTGACCTGTTGGTGTCAACTTTACTTTTAAATAAGGTAGTTTCCCAAAAGATTCCCCTAAAGTGATCTCAAATAGTTTGCTTATAGAAGTGGTTTTCCTTGTTTTAGTTTCTAGGTAGTGAAATTGCATAGGTCTGTTCTGGGCTCTCTTGTAGTCCATTGGCCTTTCTAATATCCAGTCTTCACCATAACAGCTGTGTCTTGATATCTGGTAGGGAATGCCCTAGTCTTCTTTAGTTCTTCAAATTTTCTTTAGGTATTCTGGTTTCTTTTCTTTTCCATATCCATTTTATCATCATTTCTCTGTAAGAATGTTGGCTAGAAAAAAAGAAAGAAAAACTTAACTGTGGGCCTAGAAAGATGGCTCAGCCGTTAAGAGTACTGGCTGCTCCTCCAGAGGCCCTGGGCTCAATTACTAGCACCTATATAGTCGCTCACAACCCTCTATAACTCCAATTCTAGGGGATCCAGTGACTCCCCCTTGTGGCTTCTGCAGGCACCAGGTACACATGTAAAGCACAGAAATGAATGCAGGCAAAACAGCCATACTCATAAAAATAAATAACATTTTACAGTTTTGTTACTATTGATTTTATTAATTATACTTGTAATCATTTGCTTTCAGTCTATAGGAATATAGCTGATTTGGGTCATCAAGCTAGCCTTCTGTAGGGAATTTTTTGTGAATTCTTTTTAGTTGCAGATAATAGTTTTGTTTCCTGCTCCTCAATCCTTGCACTTTTCTTATTGCTTACATATCTTGGGCTGAGTAGAGCAGTCCAAAATCATGTTTAATATTAGATGAAATCAAGGATCTTTTACTTCAGTCTAGTTTGTTGTAGCTATTTCCCATTAGGTAGTTTTTTTTTTCTCCTAACTATTTAATAGAGATAGTTTGTCATGTTTTAATTTTTAAATAAATAGTATATCAAATATACTTTCTCATCTGCTTGGATAACCATGTAACTTTATTCCCTATTCTGTTAATGTAGCAAGTTACATTAATAAATTTTGTAATGTTAAATTATCCTTATATTTATGAGATAAACTATTTGATCATGTTGATATGACAACATGCTTTTTGAGCTCAGTTTGCAACTACTGTGATTAGTATTTTTGCATCAGTGTTCATAGACAAAAAATGACACAAATCTGATTTCCCTTTCTTAGGGAATCCTTATCTGATTTGAGTACACAGTGTATTCTAGAACAGTTAAGATTGATAGTAACCATCTTTGCATCTCTTTATTCTTAATCTAAACTGACATTGCTCAAGTGACAGCCAACACCAGCAATTGGTGACACACACAGTTGTGCCTGCCTTGTTGAAAGGGTGTCAACAGAGAACCTGTATTTAAAGCCGTCTTGTCCCTTCCTTTTAACTTCCTTTGTGTTGTTGATGCATAGTTCTGTGGTGAGGAGTTCAGAAAAGGCCACTATGAATCAAAGAAGAACTACTTAAAGATCAGTCCAGGTCAAGACATTTGCTCACCCTTTATCTGAGTGTCAGAAGTCCAAACCAACCTCCCAGTGAGCCCAAAATCTGTAGATCTCCCTGTATACTTTCCAAGGTAATTACAGACCCTTTTTTTGTATTTGCACACTGAATCCAAGTAAGGCAGGGGTGAGCTCTGTTAGAAACACTAAGCATGGCTTGCTAGCTAACAGAGGCATTCCTCATCGCTCAGTGGAGTGGAACAAACAGGCTCAGCATTTCTGAATTTGCCTCAGTCCTTTAATCATAGTGGGAAGAGTCCTCTCCTCTTGCTTACTTGAAAAGAATCTCTGGTGTTGTAAACCTTCATGTTGATTTAACCTAAATCTGTAATTGGAAAAGTGAACAACAACAAAAAGTATATGTGTGTAGGATTTTAATTGTTATCGTGTTTACAAAAAGGAACCATTAGGAACAAGTTGAGGTATGCCTTACTAGGGAATTTGCTGAATCAACAGGTGTCTGCATAAAGTGTGACAGCACATACCCACTAACATGGATGTAGTAGACCTGTGTGTCTTCACATGCAAAGAGTTCGAAGATACATTTCTTATTTGAAAAAGCACACGTATCTTATCCAGTATTTCACTGGCTTATGGTTGGCTACCCTTTCTTTTGCTTCTGCCATTTAATCTGTCCCAATGTGCTAGCCTGTTACAATGGAGTTATCTCCTCTGTGTTTTTTATGCTCCTTCTAAAGGACAAAAATATGGTAACTTACAAAACTAAGTGGCGGCTTTTTTTTTTTTTTTTTTTTTTTTTTCCTCCGAGACAGGGTTTCTCTGTGTAGCTTTGCACCTTTCCTGGGGCTCACTTGGTAGCCCAGGTTGGCCTCGAACTCACAGAGATCCGCCTGGCTCTGCCTCCCGAGTGCTGGGATTAAAGGCATGCGCCCGGCTAGTGGTGGCTATTTTTAAGGCAATAATTAAATATTGAAATTTAGGCCTTCATTTTTCTGTGAGTAGATTTCCAGGTTATCAGGCACAAGATTTCTAAATATTATTGTGTGCTCTTAAGTGTATCCCCAAATTTGACATTGTTTTCTTCTAAGCATTTAAAACCTTTTGAGGACTTAGTGAAGGCTTAGATATGGACCCTCTAAAAGTATTCCTTGCATTAGTTAATGTTCTTTCCTCTCTTTCTCCCCATTTCCCAGCAGTAACCTGTGTCCTACAGAGAAACAAGCCTCTAGCACAGCCTGGGGATGTGTGCATGGTAAAGGGCACAGTCGTTACAGAAAGCCCTTCTTAAGGGACCTCCACCTTCCCAAGCCTAGAGCCCCAGTTAGCATGTTGGCTGTGAGAGAACTGTGAGGGAACAGGTCAAAGTGGGGAGATGGGAAGTGCAGTTCTGTGTGAGATCATGCCATATTTAACTCATTTTTTTCAAGGAGTAGGATCCAAAACTCCCTCTCACTAATAAGACCAGTCAGAAACTCAGAAATGACAGATCCTTCTAGACTCCACTTTCCATGAAGAGGTTGTTGTATTCTTGGCCAGTTGAGTCATATGGCCAAGGTGCCTGTATGTCCCTGAGGACAAGGGACATCTTTAAACTATCCACTCTACCAAAACCTAATGCTTCTCGCTCTAAACCTCCTCTGATGACATTTTCAACAGGCAGGCTTTGCAGCCATTGCTGTGCTGTCTACTTCTACCTCACTGAAGCTGCTAACGATAAGGTTTGCTCATGCCACCTTCCTGTTTGTGATCTCCACAAAGTATGTTTGGATATTGGCTAAGAGCATGGGAATTAGATCATTCATGTGCACACACCAGCTGCACCACTTGCTAGCTGCCTTTGGGGATGTGGTTTTTGACATTTAAATTTCATCCTTTTTCAAAGTAATATAGGTACATAATTTTTTAACTTATATAACAATAACATTTACTAAAAAATATAGTCCTCTCTCCATCCCAACTTTAATTTCTCCTATTCCAAAACAACCTTTAACTTGACCATCCAGTCTAATATAAATCCATATAAATAACATTCTAGAGTGTTTTTCAATTGATATTTCCATTTTTTATTCTAAACTGACTTCCTATTTGTATAAGGAAGCCTTAGCTCTCCAGCCCATTCCTACTGCCATCTGTCTTCCCCTCCTCACTCTTCATTCTCCCGTTCTTCCCATAGGATCTGTGATTCAACTCCTTCGTACTGTTTGTATAATTATTACCAGTCTTACAAGGTTGCTCTCGATGAGCTTCATAATGCGCTGTATTTCCTTCCTTGTATGGCTTGTTTTCTCTGGAGTTAATGGCTGTCTCATTTTCCCACTGGGTTATCTTCTGTGTATTTCTTAGTGTTCAGTCTCAGATCATGCTAAAGCTGTAAGAGGTTTCTGTGTTTGACATGTTTAGGTTTGAATATATTGAGGTCAGTATATTATTTATTTGTCTCTATGAAACCTTTAGACAGTTCTTGTCCACAGTGGTCTCGAGACTTATGACTTCATGCTTTCTTGTTTTCCGTACCTTGTCCTGGACTCCCTAGTTGCCCTTTATTC